ACAATAAAATGTCAGCATTTTTTTTTATTTGTTGTTGGATCAATAAAAAGTGCTGCAAGACCAAAATCACAGATTTTAAGAATATCTAAATATAGAAAATAAGAAATTTTTTTTTATTAGTTATTATTTTACCATTATCTGCAATAAGTAGATTTTCTGGTTTCAAATCTAATAAAAAAAAATTAATAAATCTAATAAAAATTATTCTCAAACCTCTATGTACAACACCACGATCATGCAGATAAGCCTAAAAAAAAAGTCTAAGAAATTCTTTTTTTTTTCAAAAATCTTTCTACCATTCCACGAAGAACTTGTTTAAAATACATACAATGGGTTATTTAAATTCAATCTGAATCTAAAAAGAAAAAAGAGCACTTGATTTCAAATTGAAATAGGGGACTAAGGGGACTAAGCTGACTAACTAAGGGAACTAAGGGGACTAAGCGGACCATTCAGTGAGGAAGCGTGTTTCCCCACCTAACACACCTTTTATTTCAGCACCGCGGCGTGGGAGCGCGAAGCGCCCCCCGAAGAGCGGCGACCCATGCACGTCTCTGTGTACACCATTATTCCTACCCTTAGGCCGGTTAGTTAGTCCCCTTATTCCCCTTAGTCCCCTTAGTTAGTCAGCTTAGTCCCCTTATTCCCCTTAGTCCCCTTAGTTAGTCAGCTTAGTCCCCTTAATCCCCTTAGTTAGTCCCCTTAGTCCCCTAGTTCCTCTGTCTTGGTAAAAATGGGCTGTTATTTTTTTTTCAAAATTCAATTTGAATTAAAAAAACCCATAGACTCTTAAACTAATGTTGTGCACGATATTCTTGAATTACACCGTCGATTTCTATGAAAGAAAGAAAAAAAAGGATTCTTTTGTTTTATTTTTCTATGATTAATCTCGAACCAATTTTCTTCAATAGATCACCAGCAGCAGCATATTCAAGATATAGGTAATAAATTGAAGTCTTTTGTTCATAATCATAAAATCGAATGATATTTTCATGTTGAAATAATTTATGAAAATTAATCTAAATGGTTTTTTTGTTTTTCAAAAAACAAAGAGAGCTAAAGAAATAATTATTACTTCGTCTTGTATGTCAATATTCGTTCCTTTTAATGAATCTATACGAATTACTTTAACAGCAGCAAATTCATTTGTATTAATATTTTTAGCAAGAATGACTCTAGATATTGAAATATATATATATCTAAACTAATTGTTTACATACTTGCTATAAGCACCTTCACCTAATGTTGTGTTTATGTATTGCCACATGATTGAAAATGACAAGAGAACTTGGCTACAATCAGTGTTTCTAATGAAAATCTAAAATAAAATGTACAGTACACTCTGTTTTAAATGAGCAAAGTGTACAATTACACTTATTTTCATAAGCAAAATGTACAAAATGTACAGTGTTGAAGTTTTATATAGTATAAAGAAAGGTTAAAAAAAAGTGCTCGTATCTGCTTTACCCAATAAAAAAAAAACGATCAATAATAAGCAAATAGAAAACAAGTAAATAAGGTATTTGTATCTGATTCATTTATAAAGTTTCACCACACAAAAACTCAACATTAGAACTGTACATAAACATGAGAAGATCGGTTTACTGTTTCCGAAAATCCGAAATAATCACAAGACCTATCATGATCGTCTTCATCAGTAGGAACATGAGTACGATTTGAACAAAATTAAAATGAATATTGTAATTTTCAATTCTTTCCACGGATATCACATGAGTATCGGGATTGAACTGACATAAATCTGAAAAGAAAAAAGATAGCTGAGTAAGAAAAAGAATGCGATTCAACGAAAACTAGAAAAAATGACAAAAATAGATTTAAAATCTCTCATACAAAATGTACATTGTACATGCTACTTTTTAAACCAAGTGTAAAGCAGCATGTATTTTAACAGCTGCAGATGTTTGTACATTTTGCTTCCGCTGTGTACACTTGCCATTAGAAACACTGGCTACAATCCTTTGTCTTAAATTTTTACCTCGTTCTTTTCTGATTGGATTAGATTTCGAAGATAAAATTTTACTGCTATTTTCAATGTTTTTTTTTTTTTTTTATAGAAAATTTTTTAAAAAATTTCATTGTATTATTAATACATATATATTTAAGAATAATTTAATTTGATTGATATGAAAAGAACGAATAGCGACAAGTAGAATGATTCATCATTAATCTAAATTGAGATGGATGGATGGAAGTCGATCTTGAAATGTTCGATATCCAATAGAAACGGAATAAATGAAATTATGCTATGAATTTCAATTTCAATTGTTGTTTTTATGCCATTGACAGACCGGCTTCAATTCTGTGTTACACGTTACTCGTGACATCTATGAGTATATAGATAATATTATAAAGGTACACATTGTACCACTTGAGTTAATCAAATCCTTGAATCGTAATACACTGATCGTTATCATAATGCAATAAAAGAAAATAATTGACACTTGTCACTTGTTTACCGTTCAGTCAACCACCATCATATATGATGGTGTAGTTCCCTGAGCACTATACATTTAAACTAGATGAAAAATTTTTTAGACTTTATAGGAAACTAATGAATGAAGATCAACAAGGTAAGCAAAAAACAAAGGAAAAATAAGATTTATTTTTGAAAGATTGAAGAAGTTTTGAAGGAAAACTTGGATAGAACAAGGCACTTACTGGAAAACTTTTTAGAATTGATCGAAGATATGTGAATCTTACCTCAAGAATACTTTATTAATCTGCTTGACATGGAGTTTTTAATCAGTGATAGAAGCAGTACACACAACTGTTCGAACATCATTAGATTTGTTTTTTATATTGATCTTTCAGCTCTTCCGTATGAAGTTCGTTCAAATCCTTATTAGTTCTTACGATTCGAGTTTAACATACTCTACCTGTAGTCAAACTATGAGACTAAAGTTTCGAAACTTTTTTTGCATCAACTTTATATATACTGATATATTCTTTGAAAAAAGTCTCATTCTATAAGATATAATAATTTTGAACCATTTTCTAATTGACTTTTGTCATGAAGTCGTTCCAAAGAGGCTATTATGCTAACAATATTTTCGAAAAATATTCCATTAAAAAAAAATAAATTTTAGATGATAATCGACCAACACGCCAACAAATTATTGAAATGCGATGTTATATGTTATTATATATGAAACAACTTGTTATAAGTAGTCCAGGTATACAAGGAGAAGAAGAGTTGCAAGCTATACTTAATTATCTTCATACAATTAATGAAATAATGACAAAATTCGACATCTTCAAATTAAATAATGTTCTTTTTTGTTTTTCAAGAATGAAAATCTACTTGTTGTATTAGATTTAGTTGTAAGTCTTATGTCAGCACATCCAAAAACAATGTTACCTGCATTTGATCGTGGACAAAGAATAAGGTAGATATTTAATTTTTATCTTCTTGATTAATACATTATTCCAATTTATTTATTTTTCTTTAAGAACTGTATTTAAATTATTAGCAAGTAGTAAAGAAGTAATTTGTTTACAAGCTTTAAAATCATTAGGATTTTTTCTTCAGCGTAGTACAAATAAGTATGACTTCTTTTGTTTTTTCAAAAGAAAAAAAAATGAACTTTATTTTTTACAGATGTAAAACGGATGCTATGCAACCAGATAATCTATTTTCATTATTGACTGATTGACTTTTACTTTATCCAAATAGTTTTACAATGTAAACTAATAATATTTTATTTGAAGTATAAATAAATAAATAATTATCAAATGATATTTTTTGAGTTTATTTGTTTTTAGATACTTGTAGAAAAACGTAATGCAGAAATTACTAGTGATTGGAAAATTGAAAATCCATGTAAACAAAAAATATTTAATCTTTGAAATAATAAATTAAAAGATTGATTTTATTATTTAGCAATGATTAAAGTAATAGCAATATTACTTCAAAATTCACCAGATAATATTCATTTATATGATATAAAATCTCGTTTTCTTGATGATGTGATTTTACTTTCATCAGCAAGTCGAGAAAATCGCTGGTAAAAATTATTCATGTCTTTTGTTAAAAAGAAATTTTCGAGTTTTGTTTTCTTGTTCTCATAAGAATTATTTTACAAATTTCTGTTTGGCAAGAATATTTACTTGGTCTTGCATATGTCTATCCATCAAATGATCAACAAATAGCTGTAACTGATCGAGTTTTTGAATTATCAAAAATTTTATTACATCATGCTATTAAATTTGAATTTGGTGGATGGAGAGTTGGGATTGATACACTTTCAATTTTACATGGACGAGTAATAAATTAAAAATAGTTTTCTTTTGAAATAAATTTTTTTATTTTTATTCTTAGGTAACAAAAAAAAATTATTGTCGAAAAATTAATAAAATGGTAGAAAATATGATAGATAATGATGAAAATGATGTAAGAATCTTTTTTCTATAGAGTAATTGTTGATTTGATTTATAAAATGTTTAGCAAAAAACACCGGTTTCTACACTGATAGCAAGCAGTCTATACACACCAATTGAGGGACAATCAGTGACAACACTGACTAACTAGTATGTTAATAATCGATAATACGAACGAACTGGAACCCTAAAATAACAAGATTTCAAATACATATTCGGAAGAAAAAGGAAAATAGTTGTCACGACAGAAAAAGTTCTCTACCATAATTTTCTCTGTTCAATGGATCGACTCACATCTATAATCAAAAGATGAAATAATATTTGATTGCACATCTCGATTGGTTTGAAAGTCGATTGGCTTCTAGTTCAAAGTTCAGTTCTTGGAACTGACGAAAGACCTTCCTCAACTGATTGATTGCTCTTGAGTCAGCATTATGGAAGTCCTAATGGGTTATGGATATTTGGAACAGAATTCTACTGCTTAACTTATTACAATGAAGATGCTGCATTTTTTATAGCCTCTTTTAAGTCAATATCATAGTCCATTAGAAGGAACATCAGAAATATTGATTTTCAACTTTAAACTTTGCATAAAGATAGGCATTTGCAAGAATAGCTCATTATGGAAGTTTTAGCACTTTTCGTTGTTTCTATCATAAAACATGTCAATGATAAATTCGTATTTGCATTAACATCTGTCTCTATGCAAAGTTTCAAGTCGAAATTCAAAAATCACTATTTCCGCAACAATACAGTAAATATCCAAACTCTTTTCAATGTTCTCTAAGCTTATTAATATCTACATGATGTACATTAGTAGAAGCCAAATTGTTCAGATACATCAGTTGCTCAGAACTGAACTTACCAATCTCTAGTTACCAGTTATTTAATAAAGTGAAGTGACGATTTTCGTCAAGATTGCGTTCAGCTAAATGATGTATATATTTTCTTCTATTAAGAATGAACTTCTAATCGTCAAGTATTCAACAAAAAACAATCAATTACCACCATATAAAATTTCTGAATTTAAATATTCTTCAATGCATATACGTTTGTTACATAGTATTTTCGATTCAATCAAAACAGATATTCGTGCATGAAAATCGTACGTCTTAAAAACAAAAATCTTAAAATAAAATTTTGTTTTCTTTCTAGTAAATCAACTAAACCAATAGCTGATTTTATTAACCATTCAAATCATCAAATATTTTGTGCTAATGTTGTACATATTATATCTCCAATGTCTGAAGTTTTATGTAATGTATGTGGTGGTCTTTTACCATTACTTGCTAGTGCAATATCAGCATCAGTAAAATTAATTTTTATAATTTCTATAAATTTTATTCTTTGTGTGTATTTTTTGCAGCATGAAATTGAAATATTAGAAAATACAGAAGATTTATCACCATTCAATGCAATTAAAATCTTAGAACATGTTATAAGTTTAGCAGATTTATTTATTCTTGCAAATAGTTCAAATTTTTTTGAACTTAAACAATAAAAAAAATATGCCAAATGGTGAAATTTTAAGACAATGTCTTTGCGTTTAAGTAATAAAATTCTTTTAGAAAATTTTTCTTTTAAATATATTGTGTATTTTCGTAGCAATGACAATAGCAGTTTGTCATTGTATGAAATATTGTTTTCAACGATTTAATCGATCATTAATATCAAAAACTTTTGAATCAACATCACAAACAAAACCTCCAATAAAAGATCTAATTGAATCAATAATTGAATTAACTTAGTTATTAAATTCACCATCACAAGAAAATGATGTTGATGAAAATATTGAAAATTTACTTGCAACATTTATTTAAAAATCCTGAATCAGTTTTACAAGATATTGATGTTCAACGTTTACATGCTATTATCTATCGTGATGTGGTAAGACAAAATCGAAATAAAACTGGCAAAAACATTGTCATTGTCGTGATAAGTTTAAGCAATATAGTTTTTTTCTTTCGTTCTTTTGCTTTATGTATTTTGTGTTGCATTAATTGTTCTGTTATTGTTTATTCTATCTTATTTAATAAAATTAAATATATATACGTATTATTTAGGATGATACAAAACAATCACAATTTTTAGCATTATCTATTGTTTATTTTGCATCGGTATTAATGATATCAAGATATCTCGATATTATTGAAACAAATCAAGTTTCTTTATCAAGAACAACATCATTTATGAGTACGACAACTAGTATTCAAAATAATAAGAAATGTCTTGTTTTTGTTCGACCTTTTTTTTTTTTCTATTTTATGATTTTAGGTTCAGTAATGGACAATACTATTGATATGACTATTGTAAATGGTTTAAGTCAGTGGTCGCAGCAGTCTATATCTGAAAATCAGGAAAATAGGCAGGATACATTTTAGAAAAAAAATCAGGAATTTCGATTAAAATCGGGACATTTTAAGTCTTATCATAGTGCTATTGTTCAGGATGTAAGCTGCACAAAAGTATGTCGATCAATGATAGTTCATTGAAATTACTATATTATATTTCGCCGAATACGTGTTTCGAGTTTTGCTTTTTTTCCTTTTCGTTCGCTATCTCTAATTATGCATTGTGTATACGTTTTCTTTTTCTCAGATACGTGGCCTACGGAAGGGGGTATCCTTCACTATTGGAGTCTTATTTGTTTCTAGTAGAAACCGCATTTTTATCAGGAAAATAGCCGTAAAAAGAAATAAGAAAAATCCGCATTTTCGCAGTGTTTAGGGTTCTATAACCATCTTTTCGGCACTCAAACCATTTCCCTGCATCACACTTCCTTCCCATCTTTGCTACTTTTCCTCTTTTTCATATCCCTGCTCTTCGCACATATAAAACCACCATGTTATAGATAAACAAACAAAAGCGTTTACAAGAAAACTTTAGTAAATCGACTAAAATGTTAAAATAAAGGAATACAAGATTTAATGCAGCTACGCACGGTCGTGAACTGTATGATATAAATACCGCCGTAGTACTGGTGATAATTACTAATGATAAAATAGCTGCTTTCAAAAATCAATTAATTCGAAATAATCGATTCTTAAAGTGATTACAAGAAAAAAATGGAAAAAATAAAATTTTGAGTACCATCTTTCTTTTTATAGAAAATATTCAACAAATATTTTCATAAAATTTTTAAGAAACGTTGAGTATAACAAAATAAAACATCAAAATGACCTATATTTCGTCCTACAGAGATAAATCTTGAAAAATCAGGACAAAAGCAGGTTTTTCAGTCAAAAGCAGGAAAATCAGGACACCTTTAAAAAATCAGGAAAAAATCAGGAAAGTATACACGCTGCGAGGCCTGTATTTAGCTAAACAAAGATGTATCAAATAAACCTTACTGCAGCACATTGTTCTAAACTTCATCTTCTATCTACATAGAAGTGATGTACAAAAACTAGGTACGTATTTTATAAAATCTGTACTTAGATTGTTGCTGATACTACGATAAACCTCTGATTGCTGCTATGTATAGCGTAACAAAGGTCTATCTATTGAGTGATATATCGACTTTGATTTAAAATATGATAGTTTTGTACGATTAAACATTTACAATTCATGCTTTTACAACTACCTTTAATATCTCTTTCAATGCGTGAATGATACTGTCTAAGAAGACCTATCTGTGATTGGTCTATGCATGCAAAACGATCAACACAATTTTCGAACATTAATTATCAATTAAAATAGAATATTTCATGCAATTTGTAGTACTCTTACTAATACCATATTGAATAGTAAATTGGATAACCATTATATGAAACAAAATTCTGTTTTGTCACTTTGTTACTGAAAATTTTCAGTAAAGATCAACAAGGCATTCCTTTTAAATTCATAATTAAAGGAAAGCTACAATGAAGAGTACTTCTGATGTAGAGTGCAGTTGATGCTTTTAAATAATGTATCATACAGTAAATTAAAATTCGGAATAAGCACGCACCAGTTTGCAAAGCAAAGTGTTTGGATTAGTTTGGAAGGATGAAAAATAAAAATTTTTCAACCACTGTACTTAGCTGTCATTGGAGATTAACAATAATTTTTTGGGAATAATATTAAAGAACAAAAACTAATATAATTACAACAGTGAAACGATAACCAAAATTTGACAAAATGTCTGTTGAAAAACTAATAATATTGCACATATAAACTGATCTTTATTAGTCAAGTGTAGTATACTCAAAATTTCTTTTTTTTTCTCATACAGATAAAAATTAAGTTTTATATTATGGAAAAACTAGTTTTATGAAACGAATCTCTCTTATATATCAAATTGTCTTTCGTATTTTTCTAGTAGTGCTTTACATAATGCACGTTTTATACGTCGATGCAACTATATGCACATCTATATTCCGTTAGTCCAAGATCAAACGAATCGAGTCTCTACCAAAGCAAAAATTTGATATTCTCTATTCTATTTGATCTTATCTTTAAAAATCAATATCTTTGATATGCTCCATAAATTTGTTTGCTGTAAAGAAGTCGACTAAACACCTGCGATTTACTAGAATCATTATACCACCGGAAAAAAAACCGTCAATATCTTTGTATCATTTTAAGTGATTTCTATTATTCTTTCAATATTATGATACTATGTTTCTCGAAGTTTTACCATATAAATTTTTTTGATAAAGGACATATGACGTTAAGGTTGTTTTCTTGCCCACAAAATATTTCGTTTTTTCGTATTAAAATGAAGTCGACATAGATCCTGATGATATTTTAAAAGCTTATTTTGAAATATCTCTCAATTGATTTTTCGACCTATGCCCGTACTCCCCCACAGGGGTGGATAAGATCTATTTTTAACACCCCGTAGGAGAGTACGAGTATAGGTCGACAAATTGATTGAGAGATATTTCAAAATAAAATTTTAAAATATCATCAGGAGTCTATGTTGACTTGATTTTAACACAAAAAACCGAAATATTTTGTGGGCAAGAAAACAACCTTAACGCCACATGTTCTTTCTCTGTTTAGTGACATTAGAATATAAATAGTTTCATTCATAGCCACATTTGAACTATTTATCGTTACACAAAGAAAAATCCAAATCGAGTTTGGCATACAAACACCAGATGTTGACTGTACTATGGATATTTTTCTGATCTTTTCTGAAACTGATACAGCAGTAAATAGAGGTGTAAGTCGATACATTGATCGGTGACGGCCGCTTAAAGTTTTTTTGTGAGCTTTGAAAAATTTTTCTTAGTTTCAAGAATTTTTAAAATAAAAAACGAAAGAAAACGATGGAAAAGAGCTAACTGATAAGAAACCAGATGATAACCAAAAATTAATTTAAGACGCGGGAAATATAAAAATATCAAATATTTATGTTCGTACCGAGATAGTGGCGATACTACTGAATCGCTGAAGCATTGGTGATGGTAGCTCTACCGATCGATCTACACTTCTACCACTAAATAGACCAACTGATAAAAACGACCTTCAAAAATTGCAGAAGACAAAGTAGACAAAATTCATGATACTTCTGAGAATGAGTTACTAACGAATGTTCCGGTTTTTACAACAGTATGTTTGATTGTATAAACAACAGCATATCGAATGATGACTGAATCTCAAATAAGTTTACGTAGAAGATTCACCAAATCGAATTAAAGTTGTCAAACTTTAATACTAAGGTTGAAAAGCATTAAAAATCAAATGCATTTATTTTTTACTGACAAAATTAATTTTCATTGAAATATTTTATTGGTAGATATAAAGTAAAAACAAATCTTAATCAGACATGAATAAAAATCTACTTGAATTCAAAATGACAATTAATAACGAAGATAAATTGATTTATAAATGAATTTTCTCTAACATTTTTTTAATATTTTCGAAAAAAATAAATTTACATTTCTTAGATATGATAGTAATTCTTTAGAATACCGTTTTATCAATCAAATCATATTAAATAATATTTTAAAGAACATACTATAATATCAAAAAAAAACAGTATTTAAATAACTTGACCTATTTGAGAAGTATTCACATTGTTCTTCACAGTAGACTGTTAAAATATCTTATATTTTTTGATTTTTAAACTTTAATATTGATTCTTTTCTTTGTGTAGCAAATTAAAATTTAGTTATTTTTTTCTCTTACAAAAGATGGCTCTAGAGATCGATAAATATATATATTTCCTAAATATTTACTGGTCTCTTCAGCAACCTATAAATTTTTCTGTGTATATAGCAACACAATCAAGTCAGTCAACGACTTTCGTATTTCATTATTGCGGAAAAAAAATAATTTCAGAAACAAAAAACACAATCATTGATATTGTAAATCGAAACGAGCCAAAAACAAACATAATGACAACAATCGGAAAAGATACAACTAATCCTAATAATGCAGTTCCGAACGATATGTATGTTAAATTGATCTCATCTGATGAACATGAATTTTATGTTAAACGTGACCTTGCTCTTACTTCTCAAACAATCAAAGCCATGTTAAGTGGACCAGGTTTGTAGTTACTTTTGCTATGAACTAAATCATTTTTTAATTTTTTTTTTCTAGGACAATATGCAGAAAATGAAACAAATGTTATTCATTTTCGAAGTATTAGTTCACAGGTAAAACATAAAGAAATAGTTTATATTAGAAATAGATTTAATCAATATCATGGTTTAGGTTCTTGCAAGGATCTGTTCATATTTTGCTTATAAAGCTCGATACTCAAATTCAACAATTGAAATACCTGAATTCCCAATAGCACCTGAACAAGCACTTGAATTACTTATGGCAGCAAATTTTTTAGATTGTTAAATTTAAATTTTAAAAGAATTCTATCTTTGAGAAAAGAAAACGAAGTATAGTCAACGATTATATAACATTTTTTTTTGTTCATACATACAATATAGAAGATACGTGAAGAATGAATTACAATTATTCATCTTAATCTATGAAAATTAGTTCTATTATTCAAGATTCTGTTCGATCTTTTATTCTGATATTGATTTAATACGAAAGTATGACGATTGGAATAAATATAATGATTTGTCTTTTTTTTTGCTCTTACAAATTCTTTTTTGATTCAATGTTAGAATCAATGATTAAAAAACAAAACTAGAGACGCTCTTTTTCATGTCAAATTGATATATGAAGACGTATTGTCAAATATCTCAATTGCTTAGATTATTATCAATAGTTTAAAGAATATGGATAAGTCAATTGCTAGAAAAGTTTTGTTTATCAAAATTGATATTGCTATAAATATCAGTCATTTACTTACAAAAAAAGGTAACGAATTCGATAGGTTTCATCTAATGATGTGTACATTATACAGAATCCAACACAAAATTGATTTTACATAGTAAAGAAAAAATTTATCCCTTGTATATGATCGTGACATGTAGAGAAATTTGCCTTTTCTCCTTATATTTGTCTTCATGGTATTTTCAATATTAACAATAGTGTTCTTTTTTTATTATCAACATATTCGTCTAAATTTAAGAAACAACTTTAAAACGTTGAAAAAATTGGATCTGTAATATAAATTTATAGCTGAGACAGAAATCAGTCGAATTTTTTAAATATCTTTGACATATTATTGATTAAATCATCGATTAAAATTATATAATGTTCAAACGATCATTAATAATTTTCTTTTACCAAAAAAAAAACATGTTCATTAATTTTATTAAACAGTTTTCTTTTCGAAATTTATAAACGATAGAAATGTACAAAATTATTATTTAAACAACATTTCCATCAATCATCTGGATATATGTACCCAACATGTATTCTATTGCTATTTGTTTAATAATTATGTTGTAGAATATATACAAACAGAAACTTTTCTTTCCCAAAAGATTTTTTCATTCATAGAATCAATCTTAATTGATACATACACTAGATGGTTATATAACAATATCAACATGATATAGATCATTGTCGTTCTCAATATATCATCTATGATTGTTCTTGTAGCTGAGATGTTTTGATAACTTTATGAAAGATGATCACATACTTATTTCACGGTATTTGCACATGGATATTTTATAAAAGAGAATATCACATTATTTGCATATAATCAAACTTCTGATATTAGAACAAAGTGTAATCTATTGTTGATACCAACAATGACAGCATCATCTTTGCGATATACATCTTTTCTTGGGTCATTTATTTTTTATAGTAATAAAAAATGATATGTTATGTGAAAATATCATGAGAAATCAAATCTAGAGTTTTGTGAAAATGAAAATAAATCTTATTCACACTTGTCTCAGCATCAATAAACATGAGAAGTTATTGATCAATCTTCTATTATATAAACTAAAAGCAGAAGTATATCTATATGTTCTTTAATCAGATCGAATGATTCATATATAATCGTACTGAATGATTGACAAAATCAAATATTAGATAGAACAAGATCTATCATGTTAAGCTGATTGTTCACGTGCAAATAATTTATTTTTTTTATATAATAATCATCTTTCTTTGTTTTTTGTCGTTCTCTTCATCTGACTATATGATTATACAACACAGACAACAATATAAAACGTAGTTGTATAAACAAGGCATCTACATGTGTATATATGTGTATGACACCCGTGGTTATTATTGATCAATCCCACTTTATTATAGATTTTTCTTCTTGTCAAAATGTCTCGTCATATTTATAATTTTTTCACATCGATTGTCCGATTATTGTGAATATATATAATGACTAAATAATAAGAATAGATTCATTAATCACACACATTCGTAAAAGAGAAAACAATAATTTTTGATTTCATATGCAAAGAAAAAGATAATTGATGAAATAGTTGATTTTTTTAAGTAAAAATTTGATTCAAAATTATTCAGAAATGATCATCTCTTTTTTTTACTTCTTGTTGTCCATAATATGAAAAATCGAAGTTAAAATTAATAATAAATAAATATCGATCTTTTTGATCAATAACTAATTACTATAATCATCAAGAATATATTCGAAATATGTTATTATATCAATATTAATGAATAAAGCACAAGAATAATACGATCGTAATCTTAAAAGAATAAGAGTATTATGATTGACAATGGGCATACATCGGATTGATTTTGAAACAAATTTGACCTATAGTGTTTTGTCAATTGATATTTTTCTGTTTGCTTATATGAAGTATGTAATCGTAGTGAAATGCAAACGAATATGTTCTTGTCATTGAACTAAATAACTAATGGATAGAATCCTTATCTTTCTAATGGAGACCGTTTAAAATGTTTGCCCAATATATATGACTAAAACAAAAAATAATATTTGATTTTTATCCTTCTGCTAAGTCTCTTTCGATATAAGACGTAAATATATTATTAATAAAAGAAAAACAAAACATATCGTATCAAACATGTCTGTCAAAAGAAAAAAAAAACTGTTTTTAGACAATAATACCATTTCGCTGATGCTTGCCATGAAATAGATAATTTGAATAAAGATATGAATGATTATCGTTTGTTTCACTACTATGACATGATGCTGTTGGATAAATATTCATTGGCTGTTCTGAACTAATAAAAAATTCTTTCCAATCATTAAAATAATTTTCAGATGGTATACGAGCTGATGATGATGTACTTGTTGTTAATGTATCTTTTGGTTTTTCATGCAAAAGATATGTTTGAGGATTATTAGGTTTTTTTAAAAATAATTGATGATGTGGTGGTGAAAATGGAAAATGATCAACAAGTAATGTTGGATTTGTTGATAAATATTCATCTTGATGATTTTTATTTCGTTTATAATGACGATAAAATATTAATAAAATTATTAGACTAAATAAGAATAAAAGGATAATTATTAATATACATGTTAATAGAATAGGTAATGTTAAGAAAGTTAAATTAATTTTTTCAATCAAAGATACATTTGTTTGATTTGTCAATAAGAATGACTTTTCTTGAAGATTTAATGAATTAAAAGAACTTGTATGTGAACTTTCTAATATACAACAATAACGACGAGAATCTGATCCACAACATATACGTTTTTGACTTGATAATGATGGACATTCAAAACCATTATTCCATATACCATATTCATCTAAAAAACCTGGACAACTTGAACGTTGCTCTTCCAGATTCATAATATTAACTTTCTAATCGACTGATATTACATAATCTATAAGAAGAAAAGAGGAAAAATTCTTTGGTCATACAATTTTATCGATAAAACGAACGAAAACTGTCAATATTATAAAGTGATTTTTATGTGACTTCGTAAGTAAAAATAACATTAAAATGTATGAACTTATTCTCTTATTTATACATTCAGAAGAAGAACGACATGAACTATTTATATAACAAATCTTTACAAACAAATAAAGAGAATGAAAACTCGAAATCATTTACTTTCGTATATCCTTCGATTTTATTCTAATGCTACCACTTATTTTAATGATTTTATGCGAGATGCTAAAATTAGATCCTTTTTTTTTGAAAACCAAATCAGACATATAGGAAATACATGTCGTACCTTATGTTTTTTTTTTGATCATCATCTTTAACCTTGAGGAATACCAACAGAAGAAACTTTTTTTTTGTTGCCAATCACTTGAAAATGATGTATATGCACAACAGAACAGCAACTTTACATTCATTCATTCATTCATTCTCATAGCATTATTTCTAAATGAGAGTGTCGAATGATTTACATATGTTGTCTGTTTCGTCAACTTTTCTAGGATTGTACATATGATATATCCTATGGGATAGTAACACACGTTGTTAATGAGCTCTTCTTCATTATCGTGTAACAACATATTGAACATAGTTAAATGAAAAAGGGTAACATCAACATCAACACCAATAGTTTTTATTATGTAACAAACAATTGATTAAGCTTGAAGAATACTAACAGTCAAATTCACAGTTCATAGTGAACTTTACTTACTTGACAACAAAAGAACAACAACGACAGGAAATATTTTCTTATGACAAGTACGCGAATGAATCCGTATTGCTGTATCATTTCCTATAAGATAAATAAGCACCGGAGTAGAAAAAAGCGAAGAAGGAAAAATGATCGTTACTTGCACATGATTAGTATTAATCATATGGAGATGATAGAACTATAGTGGAACTTTTACATAATGATACAAACGATTGCACAGCATAATCCTTTCTTCTATATTCATCGACAAATGTCTTATGAAGTCTAACAGATTAGTGTGAACAATGAGATAATTAGGTGTATATATTATATTAGATACGGCCATGTATTATATGCTTATACATATGTATATATTGAAGATAACGTTTTTTTTTGACTTGTATTATTCTTTTAATTGTCATCATGTTGTCCTTCGTTATCAATAGAAATGTACTTAATTTAATTATATTTTGTTATAGAAAATTATAAGTAATATAATTATGAAGAAAAATAAATGTAACAAAACCCTTCATCATTGCTAGTTTGAACTTATATTACAATTGATATGGCATTATTCAGTTGCATTGAACGGTGATTATTTTATTATTAAAGATAATATCCAGCAAATTATATGTAATCATTATAACGCTCGATGATATTAAATTATAAATCAATATTAGGTATTGTCAAGAATATTTTCCATTCTATCGATTTCCATAACATATTTGATGTATATAGTTTGATATTGTCTCAAATTCTGATGAGTCTTCAAATAAATTCTTATGTTTTTTTACTTTCTATCTTAATCCAATCTTCTTTTTTGACTCTGATCTTTGATTACTGAATATGCTAATACATTTTCTTTTCCTAAAAGTATTTTATCGAAGGTTAATAGTTATATTGTAGCTAACATTTACTTTCTCATTATGAAAATATTTCGACGTGTCATTATTTTTCTAATGTAAAACATAACAAATATCTTTACGATTTAATCATTTATTGTTGAATTCTTTAGTTAATGACATTCATATTAATCACTTCTTTGAATTTTGCCGACAAATTAAAAACTTTCAGCGCATGATTTACTGAACGTTGATTATGTGAACGAAAATAAATTCGCAAATGAATAGCCATTGTGAAAATTAATATATTGTTTAAAAAAAACATTCTAATAAATTTATCAGATGTAAATTAATATGATGTACTAATCATTATTTGGAAGGTCAACATTCTCGATTGGCAAAAAAAAGACATGTAATTTCAGCACATCCAATCATTGAGATTGTCCTTGGTTTACTGTACAAAAATAATCGTTAACATCGATTGAAAAAATACAAGATGACAGGAGTGCTTCAGCTCAATAACATCGAAAAAAAAATAATGTCATAACAAATGAATACTTCAACGTTATGATGAAGGTTGTATTGTCATTGTAGCGTTTTTGAAAGCTACTGAACTAAAATATTTCCTACATTCATCAAAAAGTTAAATAGTCATCTCTCTTTGTTTTTTTATTATTCGTTCATAGATATAGTGAAATTTCTTTCTTGTTCTGACAATACATTGTTTGTCACAATGACTACTCGTTTCTCTTGGTTCAAATAATCAACAGACTGTAAATCATATAAATCGAAAGTTTTTACTCTATCGAGTATACATCAGCATTTATACAACTCTGTTTCGATTAGCGATGTATAGATTCAATTTACTGACCAACAACTACACAGTCACATTGATACACTTGAAACAGTATTCAATGAAGCATTAGAGCACACTGCTACAAAAAAAGGGCATAATTCGATAGAGTTGTTATCTCAGCATTTATTTGTTTTTCGTGAATACTTTGTACCAATAAATATATCATTCAAGTGACTACAAACCGATTTTTATTCTGGAAATCATTTTAAATCATAAAAAAATTATAGCAACAAAAATTATCAGTAGAACTCTCATTTTTATTGATTTTTAATAATTTTCAATCTTCCTAATGATTAATCTTGATTTCTAATGCTTCTTTGTGATTTTCTATCGTTTCTAAGCCTATTCGATGAACAAATGACAACTCATTTGCAGTAATATAAATCATTGGAAACCACTGGAAATGTGAGCAATTAAGAAATCAGCATGTCTCCCCTTATTATTCATTGAAAAAATACTTTGTTTTTTTTTCTATACATAAATTTGATTGCATTACGTAGAATCATCCATCTTACCCATGTGATGAAAATCGACGATATTTGCTGGTTAACTGTAATTTGTGGGTGATTTTTCTCAGGTAAAAATCGTTTGCTTCTTTTTGATACCAAACTTTTAAAACTGCATTTTTTTTTCAGAAAAATTTCGAATTTTTACAGTTTGACGTACATCAGATAATATCGATACTCTAAGTCTGTCTGAAGCATTAACACAACATGAAAATGTCTCCAAATCTAGATCTAGTTCAGAGCTTTTTCCCAATGTTTCATTCGTGACAACTGGCGAATCAATTCTTCTTTCACCAGCTCTTTTTCATTCAGAACGCCACATACATTGAAAATAAATATTCCCTTGATTAACAAGTTTCTATTGTCTTAGACATTATCCAAGATCTATATGAACAGTGATCTCTGAAAATATTTTTTTGCAGTGACATTTCTTTTAATTTTAACTTTTGCATTTATTTGTGTTATTGAATGCATGCAAATCTCATTTATATGCAGAACTAGGCAATCAGATATTTGTAATCTATGAACAACAAGAAAGTGGTACCCTTTGCAGTTAATGCATCATTTTTTCTTTCCATGCACCTCTTATCGATCGTTGTCAGTGATTAACGACCAGTTTTTTTTTTCCATACAGACCGCGATTTGTCGTTAAAACTACTTGGGTAGTTGCACTATGGGCATTGAATTATGAGAGCATTAACTATCTTATATCAAATTGAGCCTTTGAGTAATTGAAACAATAACTAGGATATATTCATAAAAACTCAACATATAACAACGAAAAAAAAAACAGAACAGAATAAAACAAACAAGGAGAAATATTAGTGATGAGTATGCAAATAATAATACAAAAAAAACGAACACTGTTTGTTTTTTGTTTTTTTGTCTTATAACTCTTCTTATTCATCAATAAAAGAAGTATAAAAAAAACCACCAAATAAATAGCGCGAACAAATGTGTATGTTTTTTTTTTCTTTAGTGTGCATATTTTAGAAGAAAATAAACTACGTCACAAAGCACAATCACAGTACATAACAGACAAGAGAAAGCAGAAGAAAAACATTTACTTTTTGCTAATAATACGAAACAAAACAATATATAGATACTCTGACTTGACTTCTTTTTTCTTTTTCGTTTGTTTAATCATAAGTCTGGGATGTCGGAGAAAAGTTACAATACATGGAAGAAAATCTACAGGAGTAAATCATCTATTTTGATCATATGCGCAACGTATACGGCTCACTAATTTTGATCGAAATGCTGATTAATTCGAAGTATACTGAGAATGAACACAGAAAAATATATATAAATAGATACGACATTAAAAAATATATAGATAAACTCTTTACTGGGAAGGAATGGATATTAAGGAAGTACTATATACAAGCACAAAAGACCATACTATACATATATAAATGAAGATAGGTTAGATTTAACTATATACATTTAGAAAAAACAAAACAAAGTTTCCATGATTTTCAGATAGAGCGACATTGATCTGACTGTCGCAGCAGGCATTAAAAATAGCAGTAAATACATAAAAAGAAAAACAACCGAATAACAAGAACTACTTGACACAAGAAGAAGAAAAAAAATAACAAACAAAACAAAAGGGAAAAGAAACAGTAGACAACAATAACAAAAAAAAACTGCAATAGATTAATATAAAAAAAAAAAAGTTTAACAAACAACAAACAACGGTTTCTATTTTTGTAAGAATTATTCATTTTTTTTTTCTTATTTTCAGCTTTCTTATGTTTCTGACAAAAATAATCTAATAAAAAACAAACAAACAAACCAAGGACTTAAATCGAATAGCTACACAACAAGCAATGGTAGGTGCAGACTAGAAAATCAGGGAAATGAATAAATATTTAAAAACAAAAAAAAACAAACAAAAAAAGAAACGTTTTAATCGAAAATTATTTTGTGTAAAGAAAAGAAACTTTTTTCTTAATACCCATTATTTGTAATTGGTGGAGTTTCACTATGACCATTGATTAAAGATGGT